ACCTACATGTACACATTGAAAAGAAATCCTGTACTTCAGCCGGACATGTTGCTGTACTGAAAAAGGAATTAGTTAAGTTGACTGGGATTCGTTTGATGTGCTTGCTGTTACTGAGACATAGGCCTAGATTAAAGAAGGAGACATTACTACGGAGTCACAGTTAACATCTGGCGATTACCAGTTTCTCCATAAATCTCGTCAAGATAGAGCTGGTGGTGGTGTAGGAATATTGTATGAGTCCGGAAGGAGAATACATACCACTCCATCTACTGCAGCTGGATCATCTTTTGAGTACATTGTGGTTGATGTCGACTGTCATGATAAACGTTTCTTGTTGATGGTTGTGTATTGGCTCCAAATGGAGCAATCACTACCTTCTTATCTGATTTTCCTCAAGTCATTGAACAGTTCATGTCAAAATCATCTGATTTTGTAATAGTTGGAGACTTTAATATTCACATGGATCAGCCTCAAGCACATGATATGATTTGTTTTACTAATTTTCTCGAGTCTTGTAATTTGATTCAACATGTACTTGTAGTATCCCCAACCCATATTATTGGTCATGTTTTGGATCTTGTTATTACTCGTCCATCTATGGACATTATCAAATCTGTAGATGTTTTGATCCTGCTATTTCTGATCATTCACTGATAATGTGTTCTTTAGAAATCAGTAAGCCTGTGAGACTGCAGAGATCTGTGACATTTAGGAGGCTTAAAAACATAGACTGTGAACATTTTCATTGAGACATTCTTTGTTCTGCATTTTCAAAGTATTTGCACGAAACTTCATTACCGACCCCAACGTATTCACAGCTTTGTACAATTTGGAATTAACGTTGGTTCTTGACAAGCATGCTTCTGTTCAATCAAAGGTTCTTACTATACGGTCGAATACACCATGGTTTACTGAGACCATTAGGAAGGAGAAAATTAAGCGTAAAAAACTGGAGCGTCGTTGGCGATGTACTTTACTCACTGTTGACCGGGAGATATATAAAATACAATGTAATCACGTTGTGAAGATGATCCAAGGATGCGAAAGTGCATTATTATCAAAGTTTAATCCGTGAGAGCAGGGGTGATTGTCATCAGATATTTTGTGTGATTGATAATTTGTTATGCCGAAAGTCAGTTCCTACATTTCCTACTCATAAGTCTGAAGTCGAGTTGGCAAATTGATTCGCTAATTTCTTTCAAGATAAGATCAGCAACTTATGACGTATGAGTAGTGTGGGTCAAGGAGAATTTGATATTCAAGATCCAATTCTTCCTGAAGGATGTACATGTAAGCTTAATTTAGGCTACACCACTTGTGCACAGATCCAACAAATCATACGCAAGTGTCCTCCAAAAACTTGTGGTGCTGACCCAATACCGACTGCACTTTTAAAATGCTGTCTGCCTGAAATTTGCCCAATAATCACATCTCTTGTTAATTCTTCTATTAACCTTGCAGTTTTTCCAAATGATTTTTAGATGTCTTCTGTTACTCCTATTCCAAAATCTCGGAACCTCAAGGCTGATCAAGCCGAGCTGCTTAAGAATTATCGTCCAGTTGCCAATTTACCATTTGTCTCCAAGGTTCTTGAGAAGGTAGTTGCGCAACAACTTACTAATCATATGACCAGGTTTATGTTACATGAACCTTTCAATCGGCATATAAGTGCCACCATGGGACGGAAACAGCTCTTGACTGCATTCAAAATGATATTTGGAAAAATAAGGATGAGGGCAAAGTCTCCATTCTGGTATTTCTTGATTTTAGTGGTGTGTCTGATACGCTTGATCATGACATTTTGCTTCATCGATTAAGGACAGATGTACATGTAGGAGTTTCACAAAAAACCTCCAAGTGGTTTTCTTCTTACCTTAGAGACCGTTTACAAAGAGTTCAGATTTGGTCTTTATCGCCTGATGGTCGGAGTGGATTGGATGTTGGAACCATGAGTGACACCTATACACTTAAGTATGGTGTCCCCCAGGGCTCTGTACTCGGACCACTTTTATTCAATGTGTATGTGTTGCTATTAGGGGATGTTATTAGGCATCATGGACTGAGTTGTCATTTTTATGCAGATTTTATGCAGCACAGCCAACTGCCAGTAACATACAGCAACAAGCAGTTTTGGAAAAATGCTGTGACGACATCAAATGTTGGATGGCGATTAATTTTTTGAAGCTAAATGATGATAAGACAGATCTGCTTATCATTGGATCGCATATGTCATTGAGCAAAATTCCTAGAACTGTTGTGAATATTGGTAATCACAGAGTCAAGAGTCCGGGTGTGATTTTTGACAACAAAAATGAATATGCAATCCCGCATCAAGAATATCTCTCGCTCTGC